TGTACCCTAAAGGACATTTGTACCCATGCGGGCTGCCTTTTCTATGTGACCCAAGGTCATGGGACCTCTAGAGTACCCTGGAGCATCAGAGGTGACTCTGGCAGCCCAGACAACCTTGGCCAATGGCAGAAGGACTGGAGCAGTTTCCAGACTCTGGTGACATCACAGGTCCCTGTAGCCCCACACACAGAGGTGTGGCCTCCAGCCACACTTCCCAAGTGCTGTGCGAACAGGCACCACACACTGCCTGCTCCTGGTCTGAGATGGGAGAAGATAAAATGCAAGTGGCATGTGTCATTGAACTGCCACCAAGCTGAGCCATGTGGCCCGACTGACCTGCCACCCCGTCTGGTGGTTCTGAACCTCGCTGTGCCCCTTGTGGGGAGGGAGGAAGTAATTCCATTCCAAATTCTCCTTAGAAAGGGGAGCTGCCCAAGACACCTAGGGCAGGAGAAGGAGAAATGGTGCTATGCTTCTCCAGGAATTTTCGTGAATATTATTCTATTAGATTCAAAAGGGCCTGAAGTTGTCACGTTCTCCAATAGAGGGGAGAAAAGGGGACCACAGGGCCTAATGATGCTCAATGGGTCAGGCTGAGGGAACCTTCAGATTGTGGGTCCCCTTGGGGTGGTCAGGGCGGCTCTTTTCAGAACATAGCCCCCTGGGTTCCAGGTCTGTCTCTCAGACTCAGTCTCCACAAGAGACTTGGCCCACGTCCTGTCTTGACTTCAGTCCCCTGTGCCCCCATCGCTGAGGGAGCAGCCCCTGACCCTGTGCCTTTTCCATTCATCCACCTGGAATAAACCAGCCTGCTGCTTCATTTCAGGAAGAGATGGGGTGAAGCTGCCCACACAAACCACATTCACTTGACTGAGGGTCAGCCTCGCTCTGGCTGGGGTGGTGGTTCAGGGGTAACCCTGTCCCCTTCCTCAGATGCTCACCCTGTGGCCTCGTGTCTCTGCAGGAGCAGTTCCCTTCGAGGCAGGAGAAGTCTTACCCAGGTTGGGTGCAGGCCGTCTGTGGGCTCCTGTCCTTCTTGCCTGCACTATGTGTCCCGGGGGTCGCGCTGGCCCAGCTGCTCGCCTGGCGCAGACAGAAGCAGGAGCACGTGCAGCAGGACATGCACCTAAAGCTGCAGGACAACGTGGTCTGCTGAGGGCAGGGAGGGCCCAGCCTGTATGCCCCTCACTCACAGATCTCCCAACCCCCATTATACTCACCCTGAACCGAGACCTGTGGTTGTTGCTTCCAGACACTCTTACTCCCTCTGACCCTGCTCAGTGCGTAGCCCAGCTTTGACATCACAGTCCATGCTGTTCTTCAAACGCGAGAAAGCCTGGCATCTGGGTCCTGGGGCCCTGCAGCCTGGGGTCTTGCACAGCACCATCTGGGTGGTCATAGGCTTCGCAGGGCAAATCCATGGGTAAAATGGAAAGGGGTCCTGCTGCCAAGCAGGCCAGCAGAGAGGTCTCTGAGGAAGCCACATCCACACCCTTTGCAGTGGGGTCTTGCACCACAGTTGTGGGAATTGCAGGGCTGATCTCTAAGAAGAAGTGAATGAGCCCTTGGCCCACAGCAACCCTTGTACCTAGAACACTCAGATCATGAGGAGGGTCTGTTAAGACCATGTAGGTGAAGGGACACCTCACAGGCAGTAGGAGCACAGGTTTGTCTCAGGTGAGGTGGGAAGCCTGATATGAGAATTGTCCCAGGGAAACCATGGCCATCCCAGGACCCAAAGACGGGTCCTCCTCAAGGGAGGAGTGAGCCTGGCCAGGGACCTGGGGGCTGTCTGGCTTCTCCTGAGGTTTTATAGAAACACTGCCTTTTGTTCTTTTAAAACTTTCTCAAAGACTTAAATGTGTGCCAAGAAGGTATGACAAGGCCAATTATCATTCAGGTTCCTACTGCCTCCAGGGGAGCGACATCAGCAATGGCCAGTGAGTCTTTCTCATGTGGTGTTTCTCTGACACGCTGTCTCTTCAGCCTTTTAGGGGCCCTGTGATCACACTGGTTCTCCCAGATAATTCAGAATCATCTCCCATTTCAGTCAGCTGATTAGTTGCCTAATATTCCTTGTAGGTTTCAGAATTACATGTGTGGGATCCTTTGGAGGTCATTACTGTGCTTCTAACAGCACCTGGGGATTCTGAGCCCACCCAGGTTTGGGAGCCCTTTACAGTGTCCTTCATAGCCAGGTGTGAGCATGGGCAAGGGAGGGGCAGGGTTGTGGGACTGGGGGGATGACCACTTAGCCCTTCGGGAGTACTGGAGGCATCATCTGCTTTCACTCTCGCTTTCTTGTTGCTCCTTTTCATGCCTTGACTCTACTTGCTCCACACACATCTGTGGGATGCAGGAGCAAACGGGCTCCTGTTCATGCAGTTTAGATCTAGGGAAGACCAAAAATTAACAATGTTTTTTCCTTCACTTTTAAAATTTTATTTCCACATTTCACCCTGAGCTTTGGCAGACTGCACAGTGGTTTTGAAAGAGATAAATCAGAAATTCTTAGTGAGTGAAGCCTGACCAAAGCATGCACCCTTCTCAAGGGATTAACACTTGGGTAAAGATGCGTGACCCTGAGTAAACTGCCATGAACAGATTTCCTAGAGAACAAGATTCTGGATCTTCTAGGATAACAAAGCCATAGCTGACCTCGTGGGTTCAGTTTGCTACAGAAATGCCCAGGGTTCCGTGAGCCCATGGTGGCAAGGGTGGGTCAGCTCAGGGGCCTGCGGCGGAGCTCCAGTTGTGTCCTGTCCTACCTGCCCTGGGTGTCCTTCACTTTGGGCAGCAGGTCAGTCCTCCCCCATTTACGATAGCGAGAGCATTGCAGGCCAGCGTTCAGGGTGGGACTCAACCTCTCACTGCTCATTTCTCCTGGGCATTTACAATGCACTTGGTGGACTTGGCTCAGCCATAAATGCATAGCCTGGTTACTTGAACACTCTCCACAGTAGCAGTAAACAAGGCAATATCCATAAACTTTGACCGCAGCACATGCTCAACCCCCTCCAAAGTACACTCAATGGCACCTGTCACGTTTTGTGGCCCCATCAGGGACGTCCGGAAGGAAACCTCGAAATTGCTCACCACTCCACCCCAGGGAGAAGGGCAGAGCGTCATATCCCTTGGTAGGGACTCTTTCTTCTGATGATGCTCCTTTGAGCTGTCCTGCCCCGTTGTTCTTTGTGCAATCCTTCCAGTGGTCTGTTCAAGGACATTTGTCCAGTGCCCTGCATAGCCCACCAGTGCACAGCATACCCTCCACAGTGGTCCCAACAGACGTGTTGTTGGTCTCCCACTTGAGGGGTCATTCTCACAAAGATGAAGGCTTAACTCCGGCTTCCTGTTCTGATGACACCTGCAGCTCCGTGGATAAGTCCTTCTCTCACTGGGGCTCCTTACAGGAACCGGAGGCCAGGGTGGACCCAAAAGGTGGGGATTTGATCAGGGACATGGGGAGTGGGATGCAGGCTCTGGTGAAGCTACTGTGAGGATGGCCCCTCCTCCCCATCACCAAGGCCCCAGACCACCCACTCTCATACAAGCCCCTCCAGACTCCCAGTGACCTCTCCCAGGCGGCCTCTCCCATGCCCCCATAACCTCACCCTCCACGCACCTCTAAACTCCTGACCATGGAATGAGTGGAGCTGCTGTCTGCTCCCCAGGCCACTGCATAGGAGAGCCCCAAGTCCAGCCCCCAAACCTCCCAGTGCCCCCAGCAGTTCTGTGTGGGGCCCCACCCTGCCAGCCAGCCAGCAGCATCAAGAACTTGTTAAAAGTGCAAACTCCCAGGTCACACCCCAGACCTGCTAAACTGAAACTTGGGGGGACCTAACCTCAAGTTAAGTGTAGTTCAAGCCCCAGGGAACCCAGAGCTGAGGTTGAAATCTGCCGTCTCAAGAGCTCCCAGGTCACCTCCAAACTGAGCCAGTTGTAGGCATGGGTGGGTACTGGGCTGGGCCCTCCCTGCCCACCAGCATGCTGCACACGCCCTGTAGGAGCATCCTTCCCATCTACCCACCTCCCTCCCTCCCTCC